GACTACCACAAGCAGTGCAGTGGCATCCACTAGTAGAGCAGTGGCTTCGAACAGAAATGGAGAACCTCAAGAAAGGCCAGGTACTAGTGGGGTGTCACTTCAGCTCCAAAGGGTTAGGATACATGACACTCTTCCATATGCCCTTCAAAACCCCCTATGGCTTTCCACTAACTCTGGAGCAGCTAACATCCCCCCTTTTACTGCCCAGCCAGGAGTCCAGGTGAACACAGAAAATTTTGCCCCAATTGATTTTTTTAATTTAATTTTTACCGATGACTTACTAAATAAAAATTTGGACCAGTGCAATCTCTATACCCAACAATTCATGGCCACCAACCGAAATTCAAGTTATGCCCATCCCTATGAATGGAAGCAGTTCACAGTTGATGAATTTAGAACCTTTTCGGGCCTCACATTTAATATGGGACTCACAAAAAAAATCAAGTACACTCCTGCTGGTCTAACCACCCAATCCATCATATACCAATTTACTCATCAGTCATGCTTAGAACAAGATATCTAATGATCATGCGGTTCCTCCATTACAATGATAACACCCAGTGCCTTCCCCAAAATGATCCTGCATATGATACATTTTATAAAATTCAGCCACTTCTTAATTTTTTTCTCCGAGAAATTCACCCAATTATTTATCCCAGACATAAATATCTGTGCGGATGAGTCGCTTGTCCCCTTTACTGGCAGGCTGAGCTTCAAGCAGTTTATCCCCAGCAAAAGGGCCCGATATGGGGTTAAACTCTATAAAGTATGCGACAGAGCCATGGGGTACATGTACGCCTTTCTTGTATACGAAGGAAAGGATACCCAGCTGCATCCCCCTGAATGCCCAGATTACATTGGAGAAAGTGGAAAAGTCGTTTTGGAGCTTGTATTTCCACTCCTTGAAAAGGGTTAGCATCTATATGTTGATAATTTTTATATCAGCTTGCCCCTTTTCTTCACTGAAGGAAAACACTAGCATGTGGCACCATGAGAGCTAGTAGGAAGGGCTTCCAGCAAAGGCTGGTGAACACAAAACTACAGTAAGGGGAGTCACTGAGTTTGCGGAACGAAGTGGAGGGACAAACGAGACATCTACATCCTCTCATCAATTCACAATGGCACCCACGTGCAAATCACCAGAAGAAATGGCACAATCCAAAAACCAGAATGTGTCCATGATTATAATTTGTTCATGGGGGGAGTCGACTTCAGTGATCGGATGATCCAGCCCTAGCTTGCTGTAAGGAGAACTCACCATTGGTACAAAAAAGTCTCCATTTTTATTTTAAGCTTGGCCATTTATAATACATATGTGATCTACTGGAAATCCACCGAGACACCCATGTCCTTTCTTCGCTATCGGGAGGAAATTGTCACTGCCCTTTTGTACCCTGGAGGCCCACCAAAAAGTGTTTGCTCAGATGCAGTGAGCAGACTCCATGAATGCCATTTTCCCAAAAAAAGTCCATCCCGGAGAAAGAGGTCAAAGTTGTAAAAAGAAATGTCAAGTGTGCTCCAGAAGAGGAGTTAGACGAGACACCAGTTTTTATTGTCCCCAGTGTCCTTCCCAACCAGGCCTCTGCATAGGTGACTGTTTCCGCCATTACCATACTTCTCTATAATATTAGTGAAGTATGGTAAACGTAATTCTGAATTTCCTGCCATTCACTCCTCATGCCTCTGCCTGCTCCTGAACTGACCCTGGCATGGTATTCGACCATGCCTCTGCCTGCCACCTAAACTGATCATACCTCTGCCTGCTTTGGAACTGACTAAAGATAGTTTATAGGAGGTTTACAAAATAAATTACTGTATCACCCAATATATGGCTTCCATTCAGTAGCCCAAAAAGGCATACAAAAAAGAAGGGTTTGTGAAAAAGAATTCACAGGAAAGCAGCTACATTATGAACAGAATGTGATACTCAGAAAAATTTCCAAAAATTATGCTTTATTACATATAAATATTTGACATATGGGCAATCGCCCTGGTTTACCATCACCTCAGTATGAGACAATTCACACAGACCTAAAACCATATAAAATAACACCAAAACCGGTCTAAATAAATGTGCTGCAAAGACAATGACCACAAAAAGTCTAAAGTCTTTGCAGCACTGGCACATAGGTTAACACTTCCCGAAGGAGGTGTACACAAAAATTATACCATAGGTATACAGTGTCACATGTAATGAATATAAAGACATGTGTCATAACCATATAGGATTCTATCCCATAGAAGGGAATTCCCAAAAATTATACCAAAGGTATGAAATATCACATGTATGCAATGCAGCGAGCACAGTGTGCGTAAAAAGAGAGGCAAAGCCATAAGCCTATGTTAGGCAGCAAAAGGATATCACATATGAAATACAGTACAGTCCCATGCCGGCACATGTGGTTGGGGCCCATTCATCTGTAATATAAATGACTGATTCTTAGGACTCTTAGATGTAAATGACGCCCCAATTGTCGCCTGGATGGAGAAACAGATGCAAGTAGCAGAACACTGCTTTAAGTGATTTCTTCACCACAGCATGTGGACTACACATCACATTTTTTGTTGAAAACAAGATAAAGCCCTGCGGCTCCTCCGCCCGTTGAAATATATGTGGCATGCCTTGTTTCCTATAGAAAACACCATGATGTCCCCATCCTGTAGTGAGACAAACAATATGAGGGAAGTCACTGTAAGAGCTTTCACTCTATAATGGTCGTAAATGCCATATAGGTCACAAGGGACCTTTAATCTAATGTCCTGTAACAGTCCACTCACCACCTGTGCAATGGGTAGTAGGAAAGAAAAGGATATCCTTCATGAGTACTGCCCTTCAAAACGTACTGCTGTATGGAACCAGGGAACCACCGCTTACATCAGCCGACATACCGCAGGTTCCGACCTCTCCATGGCGCCTGTGTCGCCTAAGCATGCCTCATAGCATGTGAAGATGGCTACCTCCTTGTAGGTCAGCGTGCATTCCACCTAGTGCGCATGACCGGAAGTGACGTATCTGACGTATGACGCCATTACCATACTTCTCTATAATATTAGTGAAGTATGGTAAACGTAATTCTGAATTTCCTGCCATTCACTCCTCATGCCTCTGCCTGCTCCTGAACTGACCCTGGCATGTTATTCGACCATGCCTCTGCCTGCCACCTAAACTGATCATACCTCTGCCTGCTTTGGAACTGACCCTGGCCTGTTTACTGACTATGCCTCAACTTGCTGTTTAAACTGTCAGCTATGTTTCTGCTTGCCATCTGAACTGACCTCGGCTTTTTAATTGACTAAGTTTTTTGCCCACCACTTGGACTGATCTTCTGCACTGCTACTGTAGTAGTACAGTAACACAGGGGTCTCACATATGTGAGGGGCTTTTGTTATATATGGGTTTTATTATTCCCGGAAAAAGGGTCTGTTAGTCTGGAGGCTTCAAAGAGATGGGTGAGACGAAGCCTCTACCCCTGTGCCCAGGTATTACCTGACGAAGGCCCTAAGCCTGATATTTCTGCCTGCTGCAACTTATTGCCAACATGCCTCTGCCTGTGGCATGAACTGACCACATCTCTGCCTGCTACCTGTACCATGGACCATGTTCCTGTCTACTACCAGGACTGATATTTTGTCTGTGCTGACCATGTCTCTGCCTGGACACTTGCTTTTGATGTCACTATGTCCCTGCCTAATGCCTGGACCAATGCTCTCTTCTGTGGACAACTGCACTACTAAAACCATGGGTAATCTTTTGCTTACCATTTTCTCAGCAGAATGTATTTTGGGTTGTCATTCTTGGTATGTACATACTGTGTGTTAGAAATACTGTATGAAGGGCCTTCAAAAATTATAGGTTTTCTGGAAATTAGATGTGTAACTTATGTCCCTAGAACACCCGATGGTGCTACTTGGATGTCGAGCATCTGTATGTGGCCAGGCTGTTAAAAAGTCTCACACATGTGGTATTGCCATACTCAGGTCGAGCAGCAGAATGCATTTTTGGGTGTATTTTTGTTATTTACATGCTATGTGTTAGAAATATCTTATAAAAGGACAACTTTGTGTAAAAAAAATAAGTTTTCATTTTCTTTCCACGTATTCTGAAAACTTGTGAAAAAAAATCGCATGTTCAAAAGACTCATTATGCCTCATAGAATATACATTGGGGTGTTTGCTTCTCAAAATGGGGTAATTTTGAGGGTAATTCTATTGTCCTGGTGCTTCAGGGCCTTCAAAAGTGTAATAGGTAGTCAAGATATCAGATGTGTAATTTATGTCCCTAGAGCACCTGATGCTGCTCCTTGCATGTTGGAACTCTCTATGTGGTCAGGCTGTGGAAAAGTCTCATACATTTGGCATCGTTATATTTAGAAGGAGTAAAAGAATGTATTTTGGGGTGTAGTTGCAAGTTTGCCTGTGCTGTGTGTGAGAAATAACTTGTTAATATACCGTATTTTCTGGCGTATAAGGCGACTGGGTGTATAAGACGACCCCCTAATTTTCCAGTTAAAACATAGGTTTTGGGCTATACTCGTCGTATAAGACTACCCCCCTTCTGAGGCAACACCATTTAACCCCTAGCCTACAGGGCACTTATACCCACTTCCCCCAAAGGCCAATTTTCATCTTTCAGCGCTGTCACACTTTGAATGACAATTGGGCGGTCATGCAACACTGTACCCATATGAAATAGGTGACACTGATGAGGAGGAACTGGTAGGTGGCACTGATGGGCATTGACAGGCAGCACTGATACATGGCACTGATATATGGCACTGATAGGTGGCAATGATAGGCAGCACTGACTGACACTGTTAGGTGGCACTGACTGGCACTGATAGGTGGCACTGATAGGCAGCACTGATGCACACTGATAGGCGGCACTGACTGGCACTGATAGGCGGCACTAATGCGCACTGATAGGCGGCACTGATTGGCACTGATAGGTGGTACTGATTGGCAGCACTGATAGGTGGCACTGATGGGCATTGACAGGCATCACTGATGGGCACTGAAAGGCAGCACTGATACATGGCACTGATAGGCGGCACTGATGCGCACAAATAGGTGGCACTGATTGGCAGCACTGATAGGTGGCACTGATTGGCATTGATAGGTGGCACTGACTGGCACTGATGGGTGGCACTGAAAGGCAGTTCAGATGGGCACTGATATGTGGCATTCATGTGCACTGGTAGGCACTGATATGTGGCATTGATGTGGCACTGATGGACACTGACAGCTGGCACTGTTGGGGCTACACTGATCATCAGGGCACACTGATCATCAGTGCCCTGATGAACAGTGTACATGTCCCCTCCGCGGAAAGCCGATTACCGGCTCTCCTCTCGAGCTGTCGGCGTGACAGCTCGAGAGCAGAGAAATGCCGATAACTGGCATTTCCCTGTTTACATGTGATCAGCTGTGATTGGACACAGCTGATCACATGACTGAGCCGACATCTTCGGCTCTTTCCGTGATCGGTGATCCGCTGTGTCCGAGGGACACAGCGCATCGCCACGCATGCGCAGAGAATGGGAGGACGTCATATGAGCCAATCACGGCAAGTGATGTATTCTATTAATGAATACAGAGCATGCCTGGATTGGCTGCGTCAGAGAGGCGGGCTGATGATGTCACAACTTTAGCCAATCCGAGCAGGCTCTGTATTCATTAATAGAATACATCGCTCGCCGTGATTGGCTCAGCGCGGTACACTGTATGTAGCTGAAGCTACTGTACAGTATTACCGCACATCCAGCGGTTCTATACCCAGCGTATAAGACGACCCCCAATTGTTGGGGTATGTTTTTAAGTAAAAAAAGTTGTCTTATACGCCGGAAAATACGGTAACAATTTTGTGTGGGGGGGGGGATCTTAATATTCTAAAGAATTGTGGGAAAAACTTACAACTTCAAAAAACTCACGATGCCCCTTACTGAATACTTTGGAATGTCTACTTTCCAAAAAGGGGTCATTTGTACTGTTCTGGCTTGTTAGGGCCTCAAGAAATTAGATAGACTGTCGGTACATCAGGTGTGATAAGGTGTCATCAATTTTCAATGATTGGTACCATAGCTTGTAGACTCTATAGCTTTCACACAGACCAAATAATATACACTGATTTGTGTTATTTTTAACAAAGAAATGTGGCAGTATAAATTTTAGTCAAAATTTATGAAGAAAAATTACTTATTTGCAAAATTTTATAACAGAAATTAAGAAAAACGCATTTTTTTCAAAATGTTCGATCTTTTTTTGTTTATAGTGCAAAAAATAAAAAACCCAATGGTGATTAAATACCACCAAAGAAAGCTAAATTTGTGTGAAAAAATTATATATGGGTACAATGTTGCATGACTGCGTAGTTGTCATTCAAAGTGTGAGAGCACTGAAAGCTGAAAATTGGCTGGGGCAGGAAGGGGGAAGGGGGTATAAGTGCCCAGTAGGCAAGTGGTTAATTAACCATTAGCCGCCCGGCCAATGGCCGTTTGGTGGCTTCAAATGTGTCCCTGCATTCCGGGTGCACACCATTTGGCGTGCTCCCGCACATGCGCCATTTGTGCTAATGCAGAGCGGCGCAGCAGTGCGATCTGTCACCGGCCGTGCACCTCGGACACGGCCGATGACAGATCTGAGTACCGGCTCCCGTTGCTGGTACCATGTGACCTGCTGTGACCAATCACAGCAGGTCACATGACAGTTGTATACAATGGATGGCTTCATTCATAATGCCATCCATTGTATACTAGTGCCTAGCTGTGAATGGTCACAGCTAATCACATGCACATGTCATGTGATTAGCTATGACCAAATCACAGCTAAGCACAAAAAAAAAAAAAAAAAAAAAAGCTGAATGAATCGATTTCATTCAGGTAAATGCTTGCTTATAGCAAAGTAATTCTTTGCTATAAGCAAATTGTGTAAAAAAAAAAAAAAAAAATACTGATCACTTCCCCAAAGTAGTACAATGTTACTATGGTAACATTGTACTACTTTGGTCATAGTAAAAAATATGAAAATAAAATCTAAAAAAAAAAAAAAAAAAAATGTAATAAAAAATTAAATATAAAAAAAAAAATAAAAATAAATTAAAAAAAATATATATATATATTTTTTTTTCATACTGTCACCAGTCAGTGTCCCTGTTCACCGCCATGCCAGTTTATATGATGACGCTGTACTGCACTGGTGACAGTATGTAAAAAAAAAAATAGTTTTTCATTTTCCGAAAAATTATGACAAAAAAATACAACTTCAAAAAACTCGCCATGCCTCTTATGAAGTACGTCGGACTGTCTACTCTGCAAAAAGGGGTCATTTGGGGATATCTGTACTATTCTGACATTCTTGGACCTCAAGAAATTAGATTGGCTGTCAGTACTTCAGGATTGATCAATAATCAGATCTATACCATAGTTTGTGAACTCTATAACTTTCCTACAAACTAAAAAATACATCCTAATTTGGGTTATTTTCACCAAAGACATGTAGCAGAATACATCTCGGCCTAAATTTATGAAGAACAATTATTTATTTGTAAACTTTTATAACAGAAACAAAGAAAAATGTGGGTTTTTTTTCAAAATTTTTGGTCTTTTTTTTTGTTAATTTAGCAAAAAATAAAAACCCCAGCGGTGATTAAATACCACCAAAAGAAAGCTCTAGTTGTGTGAAGAAAATGATAAAATTTTAGTTTGGGTACAATGTTGTATGACCGCGCAATTGTCATTCAAAGTGTGAGAGCGCTGAAACCTGAAAAATGGCCTGGGCAGGAAGGTGTAAAATTGCACGGTATTGAAACGGTTAAACACCACAATAAAAAGTCACACCTGTTTCATGCAGTAGCAAGACATAATCAGCTTTACAATGTTATAAGGGTGTCAGATTTTTAATCAGGTTGATTAGTCAAATAGCAAAACATACTGAACAGTTGTTCTTGACAATAGTAAGTTATTATAGTATTGGTATTGTTCTGTCACATATTCTGTCCCCCTTTGTAATGTACAGCGCTGAGCGAACTATTGGCGCTTTATAAATACTGTATAATAATAATGATAATAATAATATGGTCCTCAACATTTCAAAGTAGTGTCAACCTCACGGGCGGACTGACCATTTGGAAACTCAGGCACTGCCCGAGGGCCCGGGGTCAGTATTGGGCCCCAATGAGATGCCCCTGGTACTTTTTTCATAGGCTTTTTTGAGTTTGGGCAAGGACACAGGGGCCCCATGATCCCCTATTGCCCGGGGGCCCCATGAGTTGTCAGTCCGCCCCTGGTAAACCTATATAACAGAAACATGCTGGCTCTCAGCATCAAAATTTTGAAAGAGGGTCAGCTCTTTGCCAAGTAACACAATTAAGAAAAAAAAAACTAGTGTAGCTGCTAAGGCAATACTGAGTTATTACACCAACTTCAAAATTTCTTGTCAGGTCTTCAACCAAGTAGCAAAAATAACAAGAAAACGTTGTTCTGTCTAAGAAAATAAATTGCAATATATGACATACTTTTTTTTTACAAATGTGATACTTTTTTTTAACCCCTTTGCGCCGGCGCCTCCCGGCACTTTAGGAGTTTCAGAAGTCGGGAGGCGGGCGGGGTTTTAGGGTCATGTGAATGCTATGATTTGCTTTCACGGCGGTCACATGATCGTAAAAGGTCCCGATCACAAGGGGAGATCGGGACCTTTCCGTAAGTCATGGACATATGTACTGGGAGCGCGCAGGGCACGCACTCTGAGCACATATGTATTTTCTAATGGTACGCAAATATGCGGCCACTCAGCGTCAAGGCCCAGACGCAGACAGGCCGCATATCTGCATGCGCTCGGCATCTAGGGGCTAAAGTGCCTTCATGCGATTCATATACTGCATTCAACAAATTCTGTATATCATGGCTAGCGTTTTTTTTTGATAAATATAATTTACATATTTGTAGTTGCCTAATGACATGTGTATTATAATTCTGGTTCTACTTCCTTCCTCGTGTGCATTTGCTTTTTGTGCTGTACACGTATACTGGCCCTGTAAATGTCTCCAGGTCTTTAATGCTTGGCATGTAACAAAAGGCTAGCACAGCACTATAGATGTCATTTACCACATGCACTGTGAGGAGCAAAGCATATCTTCCAACTTAAAGGATAAGTTCACCTTTCATAACATATTACATGTTACACCAGTATTCAGGGTGTAACAGGTAACATGTTATGAATAGACCAATCCCCGCTCCCTGCTTTGATAGCTAGCAGAGGATCTTCTTCTCCCCAAAATTTAAGTGTAACAACCTCTTATTACCAATAATAGAACTGCAGTCATTATAGTACTGTATGTGAATTTGATGCAATATCTTATTCGGCCACAAGATGCCACTAGCAACAGTTCCAGATCCAGCTCTATGATTGGCTTGGCACAGGAAGTCTAGGAGGGAGGACTCAGGAGAAAAGGGAAGGGAGAGACGATTTGGTGAGGGAAGGTGAAGGTCAGTGCGGAGGGGCTGGCGAAAGAGAGGAACCCGTTGTCATTGTTGGACACCAGAGACAGCGCTGCAGGATCTTAGAGGACTGAGAGGAGGCTGAACAGTTGAACTGAGGGAAAGATCATATAGGACGTGAGTACTGCAGTCTGCAACTCCCTCCATGAGGTCGGTGTTACTTTGCTGAGTCGACATTTTAGAGACACACTGACACAGAGAGAGATACCCAGTGAAATTTCCCGCCAAAACGCTGTACTGATTTTACCAGCACCAGAGACTAGTAAAGTGTGTGTCGTCTCCCTCGGTTTGTCTGCAAAGTCTGAATACATATATCGGAGACAGTGAAATTACAGAGAAATCCCTAAATGAGAGATGTGTGCTGAAGTGAGAACAAGCCATTTACCCAGGATTGCTACTATATTTTTCAAAGACATTTTTGTAGGATTTGCTGATGAAATCAGCCACATTCTGTTTAACAGTTCACCTATGTTAAAAAGAGCTCCAACGGGCCCCATCTAGAGACTGCATTTTTGGAAATTTTGTTCTGATCAGATATCAGGAGACAAGGGGAGGGTTGGCACTCATTATAGTTAAGTGCTGGTAACTATTTTATGCAGTAACATTTATACTTGTTAATATATGTGTTTGGTATCGGACATCTTATGTCCATAAGTTAATATACATGATTATCCAATACGGTTACTAAGATTCACTACGCTTAGAGTCATAGGTGATATTTGCACCCTGTTTCTAGATGGAATAAATCCCCCAGGGGAATTTTATCTCTCAAAGCCAGTGTGTGTTTCATTGGATTCTGCTGTGTCGTCAGTCCAGGTAAGAGCTGTGAAACCCACATCATATACCAATATATTGCTAACACCCACGGGTGTGCTACATAAGAAAAAAACACAGCCGTGCAGGGCTCTGCCCCCCCAGCCACGTCACTCATTTGCAGTCCTCTGTCAGTCCG